TGGGCTAGTAAGACTCATTGAGGACAGAGAATTTGTTCCATGCCTTTGGGCAGAGAGTGGAGACAGCTTTTCCCTGTTTGCACTACTTAACTGCTTTCAGTTCAAAAGTCTTTTTGTCATAGAAGGCTATTTTGCAGTGACATGTTCTGGATTGCATCATAGGTTCTAAACATCAGGAAGTGTGAGTTCTCTGTGTTTGCTTTTTCGAAAGTGATTTGGCTCTTCTGGATCCTTTGTATTCCACAGAAATTTTAGAGCTACCCCCCAGCCAAAAAAAAAAAAAAAAAAAAAAAAATGATACACTTGTGGTGTATGTGTGCTGTTCTCAGGGTAAGGGTTCTCTGTGTAGCTCAGGCTAGCCTTGAACGGAAGCTCTTCCTTAGTCCCCCAGATGGTAAGATTACAGGAGTGTGCACCATTCCTGATCCCCATCTTGCATTTTGATAGGGCTTGATTTGAGATCAGCTTAGAGAGCACTGTTACAGAAATGCGATGATGCTCTCACCTGTTAACATCAGGTGTGTTTGTAATAGGTGCTTCATTTGTTTATTTCAGGGATGACTTTGTTGTATTCCTTTCCTTTTTTTTAAATTTTGTTTTTGAGACAAGGCCTTCCCATATGTCTCAGGCTGTCTTTGAACTCTCTGTGCTCTCGCCTTCATCTTCAAATGAAATATGGCCTGTATATATTGTTGCATGAATCATAAATGGTCTTATAATAAAAACCTGGAGCCAGATAGTGGGGTAAATGCTGAAAGATCAGAGGAAACAAGCCACAGCCACTTCTCACCTCTCCAACTCCTATCTCCACCAATCCTTATACTGAATGTCTCTGAGTCCTCAGCCCAAAGGGGCCTGAGTTCCTGTCTCCTCACACCTGATATGCCTTTCTCTGCTCAGGCATTTCACTTCCTATCTCAACCTTCCTAGTGCTGGGATTAATGGAGTGTGCCACCACTGCCTGGCTCTGTTTCACTCTTAGACTGGATTGATTAATCTTGGGTAGCCTAGGATGGCCTTGAACTCACAGAGATCCAGACCAGTCTCTGCCTCTCGAGTGCTAGGATTAAAGGTGTGTGCCACCACTACCTGACCTCTGTGGCTGGCTCTGTCCTCTGATCTTCAGGCAAGCTTTATTTCTTAGATTGCAAATTGTCAGAGACAAGGACAGAATCTCTAATTAGTGGAAAAATACAGGCCCCCCCCCCATAAGACAGGGAACTAGATCATCTTACAGTCAGGTTGCCTAGCAACAGGACATTGAGTCAGAGCCCTTGACCCTTTCACCCTGTAAACATCCTATACAAACATCCTGTTAGCTTGCCCCACCCTATGCAGATAACAGCTTCCTGCTTCCCCCTACGCTGCAGGAACTATATAAACCCTCCTGGAGAAAAATAAAGTTGCACCTTGATCAGAATCTTGACTTGGTGTATTTCCTTTGTGTCTCCTGTCCCTATCATTCCGTCCTTAGGGTGGTTGAGAACCTGTAGAAGTCCTGCTGGCCGGGGCAACAAATATATCACCACAGTATATTACTGTGTCTGACTTGTCTTATTTTTTGTGTAGACAAAAATATTCTTTAGAGTTTCACCATGCAACCCAGGTTTGCCTGTAATTCATGAAATAGCTCACACTGGCCTGAAACAATTGATCTTCCTGTCTTAGCTTCTTGAAGTGCTGGAATTTCGGGCATGTACCACCATGGCTAATCTTCATATAAGTATAAACATATGGTCAACCATATAAACAACTCTAGCTCTTTGAATTTAGTCCTGAGTATTGTATTCTTTTTGGTGCTATCATAAATTGAAATATTCTCTTTATTTGATTTTTAAATTTCCACTAATAGTTTTTACAAAAGGTTTTGGTTATTGATCTTTTTATCCTATAACTTGGCTGTGGTGGTTTGAATAAGAATGGCCCCCGTAGGCTCAAATATTTGAATGCTTAGTCATCAGGGAGAGGCACTATTTGAGAAGGATTAGGAGGTGTGGCCTTGTTAGAGGAAGTGTGTCACAAGGGGTGGGCTTTGAGGTTTTAAAAACCCATGCCAGGCCCCATGTCTCTTTGCTTAAGGATCAGGCTTTAGCCCTCAGTTACCGCTCTAGTGCCTGCCAGAATGCTATCATGTTTCCCACCATGATGATAATAGACTAACCTCTGAAACTGAGCAAGCCCCCAATTAAATGCTTTCTTTTATAAGAGTCACTTTGGGGGCCTGGAGAGATGGCTCAGAGGTTAAGAACACTGCTTGCTCTTCCAAACGTCCTGAGTTCAATTCCCAGCAACCACATGGTGGCTCACAACCATCTGTAATGAGATCTGGCACCCTCTTCTGGCCTGCGGGGATACGTGCTGACAGAACACTGTATATGTAATAAATAAATCTTTTAAAAAAAAAAAGTCACTTTGGTCATGGTCTCTCTTAACAGCAATAGGACAGTGACGGTGGTAGTTTGAATGTAATTGCACCCATAAGCTCCTAGAGAGTGTCACTATTAGGAGGTGTAGCCTTGTTGGAGGAAGTGTGTCACTGTGGGATGGGCTTTGAGGTCTCAGATATGCTCAAGCCACACTCATTGTTTTAGACCACTCACTGCCTATTACCTATGGGATCAAGATGTAGCTCCTTCTCCAGCACCATGTCTGCCTGCATGCCACCATGTCCCACCATGAGGATAATGGACTAAACCCCTGAACTGTAAGCCAGCCCCAAGTAAATGTTTTCCTTTTAAGAGTTGCTGTGGTCATGGTGTCTCTTATAGCAATAGAAACCCTAACTAAGACAGTGACTAAATTCATTCCAATAGTTTTTGTTTTGTTTTATTTTATGGAATTCTTGGATTTTCTGTATAGAAGATTAAGTCTCCTACAAATAGAGATAATGTACTTGTTTCTTTGCACCCAGATTCTTTTTATTTACTTCTCTTACCTAGTTGCTCTAGCCTAGACTCTCAAGCACAATGTTGAATTGTTTGTTTGTCTTTAATTGGGCAGAGCTTTTGGTATCCACTGTTGAGTATGAGATCAGCTGTGAGCTTTTTCAGGCTAGCCCATGTCTTTGGGAGGAAGTTTCCCTCCGTTCCAAATTTGCTGCGGCATTTCCAGTTGTTGGTATTGGAATCAACATGGAATCCCTGAGATAAATAGCAGACACAGTGCAATCCTTTTTTAATCTTGCTTAGTTCAACTTCCTAGTGTTTTGCTGAGAATGCTGGTGTCTGTAGTCACAAGGGTTCAGTTTTGTTGAGGTGTCTGGTTTTGCTGTCAGTAATAGTAGTGCGGTATTATTATGAGGGGGAAGTATCTTCTTCTCTTGTGCCTTTTGATCAAGTTGGTGAAGGGTTCTCACTCATTTGTGTGTCATCATTTGGTAGAATTCCTAGGAAAACCATCTTTGGCTTTGGTGTATATGGTGCAGGATCCTTTTATGACCAATGGAGTTTGTGTACAGATGCAGCAGTTTTCTTTCCTTAACTCATTTTTGAATGTTGGTCTTCTGAACGCTTGTTGGTGTCATCAATTCGTTAGCAGTCACTCCTATATCCTTTTGTGCTCCTTTTTCTTCTGTAAAACTGCTGGTAATGTCATAATGTTGCATGTCTGGTTTTAACAATTTGGATACGATTTTCTTGGTCAGTCTAGCTAAAGCTTACTATAAGCTTTGTTAATTTTGTGGATGTTTTCAAAATATTACTTGGGCTTCACTGAGTTTTCTCCATTTTCTGTTCTGTTTTTGAGGTGCCTTCTTATATATCTAAGCACTTTCCATCTTTTGCTTGGGAACCTCTCAGGGGTTGCTAAGCCTCCTTTGTAGGTATTTGATATGAAAACCATGTTCATATTTTTATTAAGGTCTCATTTACTCCCCACACCTTGATCTTCTCACAAGAGTAAATTGATATTTCCCTGAGATCACATAATGTGTGGTTATAACTGGTGACAGCCAAATATTAGAGTGTACAAAAAGATAAAACAGTGCCTGTCCTTTGTTATATTTTAGAAAGTATAGCTGTTTTTTTAAATGTGTTTTATATAGTACATGTCTTACTTGTGTTTATTTAAAAAACTATTGTTGTTGTTGTGTGTCTGTGTGTAATGGAGTAGATAGGCCATGGTGCACATGTGGAGGTCAGAGGTCAGCTTGGAAGAATTACTTTTCTCCTTTCTTTACGTGGGTTTCAGGGACTCAAACTAAGGGTGTTGGGCTTGCATGGCAAGCCCCTGGGCCCATAGAGCCACAGCTCCTCTTATTTTTTTTTAATGAATTATTAAATGTTATTACATTTTTCTGTTTAGGTTTCTAATTTATACCAAAGACATAATCTATAGGAACAACTCTCAGGTGCCTAGTAATTCCAGAGCCTTTCTAGTAGAAAATGGAAAGTTGTTACATATCACTTCATCAAATCCTTACAACATCTCTGGGTCTTAATAAGTCTTCTTTGCAGCCAAGCAAAATAGAAGTAGTAAATAATTCATTCCAAGTTGTAGAGGGCTGCTGGAGCCAGGACTTAGGAGTTCAGAGGTCGCTGCTCTTCGGGAAGTCATCCCAAGTTCAGATCCCAGCACCTTCAGACAGCCCACAACTGCTTTTGACTCTAGCTCCTGATGCCATCTTCTGACCTCCACAAGCACCCCTACACACACACACACACACACACACACACACACACACACACACCCATAAATATTTATGTATTATTACTTAATAAGAATAAAATAGTAAGAAAAAATAATAAGGATTAAAATGAATCTTTAAAAATTCATTTAGTGGTAGAAGCCAGAATTTAAAATCAAATTCCTAGATATTCTAAAGTTATTGCTTTTTTATAGTGAATGCCTGATAATTCAAACTTTCTTCTCTTTCAAGACTTTCTGATACTTTCTTTTCTTACTTATAGTGAGTCTCTAGCCAATCCTGTCTCTTCAGTGTTGTGACACCGTAGGTGTGTGTGGTCTTTCTCAAGACTGTGATTCTTTGGTATCGTCAACAGAGAGATGCTTCATGGCGATGCTGAGAAAAAGAACCAGGGATGAAAAGATCAACGTCAGGAAGTCTGCACTCCAGGTGGGTCCTTCCTCCTTACACACGCTTGCCACACGACAACTCAGCAATGTCGTACTCTTTGTTTATTGTTTAACTTGCCTTTGGTTCTGCCGTTTATAACTACAGAAGAACTAGAAGACTGCTGATTTTTAAACTTTCAAGTTTACTTGGTGCCTTTTGAAGACACAACTGTTGTGGAGTGTAGTGGTTTGTGCCTGTAATCCTTGCTTTCAGGAGGCAGAGGCAGAGGCAGAATGTAAGCGAGTTTGAGTTTGAGGCCAGCCAGATCTACATAGTGAGTTCCGACTCAGCCAGGGCTACACAACAGTATAAAAAACAACTTTTTATATGTATTTGTTGAACTAGGAGACCATAGATGAATTTCAGTAAATTTGTGAAATTGGTTGTAATGTTCAATTTTTTCTTGAGAGAATCCTTTCTTTCTTTCTTTGGTTTTGGTTTTTTGTTTGGTTGGTTTTGTTTTGTTGTTTTGTTGTTGTTTTGTTTTGTTGGTTTTTTTTCAGGACAGGGTTTCTCTGTGTAGCCCTGGCTGTCCTGGAACTGGCTCTGTAGAACAGGCTGGCCTCAAACTCAAAAATCCGCCTGCCTCTGCCTCCCAAGTGCTGGGATTAAAGGCGTGCAGCACCACTACCCAGGAGAGTCCTTTCAAAAGAGAATATCATAGGGAAATAAGGTTGATCTATGACCCCTAAAATGTTAAAAACAATGAGCTTGAAGTATTTCTTTGTCTGTGTTTACTCTGTGTTGGTGCCTTTAGTCACCACTTCCTGTTGTACCTTCCAGGTGTTAGTGAGTATTTTGAAACACTGTGACATCTTGGGCATGGAGGAGGACCTGTTGATCCTGCGGGACCATTGTCGAGACCCTGCCGTGTCTGTGCGGAAGCAGGCCTTACAGTCCCTCACAGAACTTGTCACGGTAAGGAGGAGCATGCTGTGTAGAGATGGCTTAGTGCTTTGTATCAAAAGCAGCTCTGAGCTGGCTCTGATGGTTCACACTTAAAATTAACATTCATAAAGCTGAGCATCACTGTGAGGCTGAGGCCCTTTGTCTACAGTATACCCTGCCTTAAAGATAGATAGATAGATAGATAGATAGATAGATAGATAGATAGATAGATAGATAGATAGATAGATAGATACATACATACATACATACATACATACATACATACATACATACATACAAACATACACACACACACACACACACACACTCTGGAGTTGGAGGATTAGGGATAGAGCATGTGCTTTATATGTACAAAGTGCTTGAGTTTAGTCCCCAACACCAAACAGGGGCAGGAGTAATGCTACATAATAATTACCTGTTGTGGGGCTGGAGAGATGGCTCAGAGGTTAAAAGCACTGGCTGTTCTTCCAGAGGACCCAGGTTCAATTCCCAGTATCCACATGGCAGCTCACAACTGTCTGTAACTCCAGTTTCAGATGATCTTACACCTTCACACAGATATACATGCAGGCACAACATGAGTTCACATGAAATTAAAAATAAATAATTTAAAAAAAATTAACTGTTGTTAAATGTTAAGTAAACCATTTAGAGGACTGAACACAAACCACGGGGAATAACAAGTATCTTTGGCAGATGACTTTTAATTTCAGCTAGGAACTAATGCGCGATGCTGTGTCACTTCTTAATCTTATCTTACATCTCAGCTAGAAAAAAGAAATAAGAAATTTAAAAATTGATTTTTATTTTTATTTATGTGAATGTGTTCTCATGTCTGTGTCTGAGTATATAAATGTGCGTTCACGTGCCCACAGTTGATTGTGAGCCACCAGATGTGGGTACTGGGAATTGAACACTGGACTTCAGGAAGAACAGCAAGGGCTCTAACCACAGAGCCACCTCTATTACCCTTTGCTGTTGTGACAAAACACCATAACCAAAAGCAACTTAAGGAAGAGAGAGTTTATTTTTGCTTATGGTCCCAGAGGGTAAGAGTCCACTGTGGCAGGGAGGCGTGGAAGCAAGGAGCAGGTATTGTGATGATCAGGAAGCTGCGAGATCACCTCTTAACAAAGCAAAGAGCAAACTGGAAGTGGGGCGAGACTTTAAACTCTGACAGCCCATCCTGCCCAGTGACATCATACTTTCTCCAGCAAGGCTGTACCCTCCCCAGCGGAACCTCTCCAGACAGCACCAGCAGCTGGAGACAGTGTTCAGATGCCTGAGCCTAAGGGACTTGCTCGTTCAAATCACCACACCATCTCTTAAGCCCCAGAAACAGGAACTTTAAAGTCAAATTCACTAAATTCAAGACCTAGATTAATGTTTCTCAATTAATATATGTAGCTATGTGGTGGTGGTAGTGCACGCCTTTAATCCCAACACTCTGGAGGCAGAGGCAGGCGGGCTAATCTGAGTTCCAGGACAGCCAGGGCTACACAGAGAAACCCTGTCTCAAAAAATTAAAAAAAAAAAAAAAATATGTAGGTATTACCAGAAGAGCATATTTATTAATATGATATATAATTTATTTCTCTCAACTAATTGACTATTGAAGAATTTTTAAAGGGTTATTATTTTTATCAGAGAAGACATTAAAGAATGCATACCTTTAAGATTTATTTTTATTAAGTGTGTGCGTGCCCATGGAGAACAGAGACATCAGAGCCTCTGGAGCTGGAGGAACGTAGAGTTGTGAGCTGCCTGACGTGGTGCTGGGAATTCAACTTGGCCCTCTAGAAGAGCAGTAAGTGCAGTTAACTGCTGAGCCATCTCCAGCCCCAGCAATGCATATTTTGGCTTTTTCTGTCAGTACAATTTTCCTTGGAGTAAATATCATTTGTTGTTGTTCTTGAATAACCAGAATAATACTAATAATAAAAAAATGGCTTTAATTTATAAGTTTAAATTTTAATATGAATTGATTCATCATAAGCTGGAGGTTATAGCTTTTCAGGATCTCTGAATATTGTTTTTTGGTTTTGGTTTTGGTTTTTTTTTGCTTTATGTTTTATTTGCAGTTAAGTGCAATTATTTGTTTGCTTGGGCATAGTGCCAAGTATTATACCCAGGGCTTTGAACATACAAAAAATACCTTCTAATATTAAACTGTAGTTACCCTCTTTGGATGTGATTATATTTAGCATATCTGTTGAAACGTTTATTCCACCTTTATTGGCTTCTCCCTAGACTTGTAATAGTGTTAGATCTTCTGCTATAATGTTTTCAACCTTAGGCCCAGCCTACATGTGTCCCAGTCCAGAAAGCCTGGTTGATGGGAGTCATCCCAGTGGTGATGGACTGTGAAAGCACAGTGCAAGAAAAGGCCCTGGAGTGCCTGGATCAGCTCTTGTTGCAGAACCTTAAGCATCACAGGAAGTTTCACAGTGAGGACAGAAGCCAGGTGCTTGCTTGGGCGCTACTTGCTCTCCTTACTACAGAAAGCCAGGATCTGAGGTACGTCAACTGTATCACTTCAATTTCTTACTGACGGCCATGTTCTGTTTTCGTTGGGTTGTGTTTTAAAGATTTATTTTTATTTTATGTGTATGGATGGTATGTGTGTGGGGGAGGGAGGACCTGAGGAGGCCAGAAGGTGGCACTAGATCCCCTGGAACCAGAAACTAGAGCTATGTATGCTTTTTGAGCCATCATGTGGGTACTGGGAACCAAATGTAGGTCCTCTGTGAGAGCAGCCAGTGCTGTTAACCACCTGAGCCATCTTCCTGGTCCTCATATGGTGTTTTAATAATAGTTTTCTATTGATAACTAAAGACCAGAAATCCAGATTCTTAGTATATGTGAAGACCCTTTTTCTTGACACTCTTCACATCTCTTAGCATGATTGTGGTGAGTGCTTTTGTGGTACCTTTAATCCCTTGGCTTCCTTCTGACTCCTTTCCAGTTTTAGACTGGCGCTGTGTTAGTACTGAACATAGTGTGGCACTGTAGCATCGACATTCCCCACAACTTGCTGTTAGGAGGACTGCATCTTGGTGTTTTGGTTTCTGGTTTTTCAAGACAAGCATGTCTCTGTGTAGCCCCAGGTGTTCTGGAACTCCCTCTATAGATCAGGCTATCCTCGGACTCAGAGGTCCACTTGCCTCCGCCTCTTAAGTACTGGGACTAACATGTGTGCCACCACACCCAGCCTACATTTTCATTCATAAAAACTAAACCTTTGTTGGGCGGTGGTGGCGCACCCCTTTAATCCCAGCACTCAGGAGGCAGAGCCAGGCAGATCTTTGTGAGTTCCAAGCCAGCCTGGTCTACAGAGCAAGATCCAAGAAAGGCGCAAAGCTACACAAAGAAACCCTGTCTCGAAAAAACCAAAAAAAGAAAAGCTAAACCTTATTCATTTTATTGAGCTGGGTGAAATAGCTCTGCACTTTTGTTTCTATTTAATAACATTGAGGGTGGTAGAGATGGAGGATGGTAGACATTGAAGATGGTGGAATTTGAGCATGGTGGACATTGAGGGCGGTGAACATTATGCTGAGGAGTTAGGATCTGTGATGGTACCTTGACTACAGTGATCTTATGATTAGTTTATATTTAAATTATAGTGGCTGCTTTTTTCTTTTCCTTACATCTCCTTGTCATACAAGAAACACAGACTTTTCCATGTAATTATGGAGGGATTATACAATAGAAAGTGATCGATTGCTATAAACTTATGCCCTGTGGTCTTTGCAGAGAACTTCTTCCTGGGCCTGAGTTTCCTCATTTTTGAGCGCAGGTAATGGGTTGCTTGGAGTTTTCATCTCTTTTGGTGTTAGAACTTTACCACTAAAAATCCATTTATCTAGTCATTGTTTTCTCGGTATTACAGAGGATGCAGCGTGCAAGGTACTACCTTGAAGCAGAGAATGAGCTCAGCAGATACTAAGCCTGGAGCCTTAACCTCAGACTTCTGAGCTTTCAGGATTGTGAAAGTAGATTCTGTTCTTCATCAATTACACATACCCGGGTGTTGCTATAGCAACTCAGAGGCCAGACTAAGATGACACCATAAAAAACATTCGAAGGACAGATTGAAAACTGTAACCCGGGCTGGAGAGATGGCTCAGAGGTTAAGAGCACTGGCTGTTCTTCCAGAGGTCCTGAGTTCAATTCCCAGCAACCACATGGTGGCTCACAACCATCTATAATGAGATCTGGTGCCCTCTTCTGGCCTATAGGCATATGTGCAGACAGAACACTGTATACATAATAAATAAATAAATCTTAAAAAAAAAAAAAAAAGACAGATAAAAAAGAAAACTGTAACCCACATGAGGGATGGTCACTTGTATTTACTAATGACTCTTACCCAGGAGAGGATTCCTAACAGAAAACAGATGAGGTGAAAAGCAGTTCACAAAAGTTGAAGTAGAGATGAGCAATAGACAGAAATATTGAATCTGATATTAAACTTCTCTAACAGTCAACAGAGTTAAAAATAACACAAGTTTCAGTTTGTTAAAATGTGAGACTTGACAGTCTATACTGTAAGTGTTGCTGAGAATTTGAGAAAATGATAATTTTGCATGCTTGAGGAGTGCACAAATTGTCAAAACCTGCTTAGAAGACAGCCCAGCAAAACCTGCTTAGAAGACAACCCAGCAATGTATATTTCAAGCATAAGGAACGCTTGTTGTTTTTTTATCTCAAGGCTGTGCCCTCCCTTCCTCTCTGGCATCCCAGCCCACCCAGGCCGGGTCTCTTCTGTCTGGTCTGCTTGCAGTCCACCCGTTGACCTTTCTTCATGCATGACCTTCAGGAAGCATCAGAAAGTGTCCTCTTACTGGGCCACTTGACCAGTGCTTCCTCTTTGTCTCTTAGGTGTTCCACCAGGTGCATTCTGGGTCTTGACAGCCCCTCTCTGCTCCCCACACAATCTGCCCTGCATACAGGTACCTCTGAGGACAGCAGGTTCTCTCTGTGACATGCTCTTTTAGCCCACTCTGCTTTGCTTGATCTTACTTGTCCTTAGATTTTCCTTTACTTATCTCTGGCAATCTTCCTTGGCTCCCCCAGTGTATTAGGGTTCCCTAGAGTAAATGAACTTACAGAATACAGATATTTATTATATATGTAGGTACACACACACACACACACACACACACACACACACACACACGGGATTTATTAAAATAACTTACAGGCTGTGTGGTCCAGGTGGTCCAACAGGGCTGTCTACCAACGGAAGGTCTAAGAATCCAGTAGTTTTCCCATCCACAAGGCTGGATTGTCTTAGTTAGGGTGACTGTTGATGTGATAAAACACCATGACCAAAATAGTAACTTGGGGAGGATAGGGTTTATTTCACTCACAGTTCCATATAACAGTTCATCATTAAAAGCAGTGAGGGCAGGAACTCAAGCAGGGCAGGATCCTGGAGGCAGGAGCTGATGCAGAAGCCATGGAAGGGTGCTCTGCTTACTCAGCCTGCGTGCCCTCGCTCTCGCTCTCTCGCTCTTGCTCTCTCTCGGTTTTTTTTTGTTTGTTTGTTGTTTTTTTTGGTTTTTTTGGGGGGGGGGTTTCAAGACAGGGTTTCTCTGTGTTGTTTTGGTGCCTGTTCTGGATCTCACTCTGTAGACCAGGCTGGCCTCGAACTCTCAGAGATCTGCCTGGCTCTGCCTCCCAAGTGCTGGGATTAAAGGCATTCGCCACCACCCAGCTCAGCCTGCTTTCTTATAAACCCCAGGACCACCAGCCCAAGGATGGCACCACCCACCATGGGCTGGGCCCTCCCCCCTCAATCACTAATTAAGAAAATGCCTTTCAGTTGGATCTTATCGAGGCATTTTTTTCTATTGAGGTTCCCTCTTTCAGATAACTGTAGTTTGTGTCAAGTTGACATAATACTAGCCAGCACACTGGATGTCTCAGCTGGTCCTCAGTATATGCCAGGATCCTGAAAAAGGAGGCTCTAATTCCAGTGAATGAAATGGACTTGCTAGTGAAAGCTAGAGCAAAGGTCTTCCATGACCTTGTTATGGGCTGCCAGCAGAAGGTGTGGTCCAGATTAAAGGTGGGTCTTCCCAGTTTAAAAGGTCTCGATTAAAGGTGGATCTTCCCACCTCAAAGATCTGGGTTAGAAGTGGGTCTTCCCACTTCAAATGATTCAGTTAAGAACAGTCCATTACCTGGGTGGTGGTGGTGGTGGTGGTGCACGCCTTTAGTCTCAGCACTTGGGAGGCAGAGCCAGGCGGATCTTTGTGAGTTCAAGGCCAACCTGAACTTCAGAGTAAGATCCAGAACAGACACCAAAACAACACAGAGAAACCTTGTCTCAAAAAAACCAAAACTAAAACAAAACAAAACAGTCCCTCACAGGTGTGCCCGACCGTTCGGGTTTAGTTAACTCCAGATGCAGTCAAATCGATAATCAAACCTATCCATCACACTAGCCTGGGTTCCTGCATTCCTAGGTCTAGGAGGCATGTTTATATCAGAAATTGAGGCTTACCTTAGGCTTCTTCAGCATCACAGCATCCTCTGTCAGGAATGTTCTCATTTTCAGGTAGAGGAAACCTATCTGAATATAGGTTTATATAGAGGTCAGAGGTAAAGGCAGGTGACTACCGAGGGTGAATGACAGATGAGTGATATTTAATGAAGAAACCTGGGGAAAGGTACTTGAAGAGCTGTACTTTATAAAGGTGGTGGGGCGGGGGGGGGGGGGGGGGGGTGTGGGTGTGGGTGTGGGTGTGGGCGTGATAATGATTGCTGGAGCTTGCTGTTCTTTCTTTCCCTAATAAATTAGCCATCAGAATTATCCCAAAGTGAGGAGGAATGTACAAAGGAGGCCTTAAGTGTGACAATCATGTGGACCTGGGCTAGGGAGTAGTAGAGCTTTTAATTATAACAGTAGGAGGTTTCTTGGCATTTTTACTCTTATTTCATGATTATAGAGTGGAAGTTCCAGAAGCAATATGATGATACTGAAACAGATTGCACACAAAAGCAGATACAAGAAATCCTATTTTTGATTGAGCCAGGGTTAATAGGGTTACAAAAGGATACAGCAGTGACCCACCCTGATTATTTTGTTTGGGAAGAGTTGTTTTGTAAAGAGTACTGTTACTTACACTGATGTAAATGGGTTTGTTGGTTCTAGGTTTTTGTTGCTTTTGGTTTTTGTTTTCAGCACTAGGGTTTGAGGTATACTAGATGGCATTGTGTCTTCAGCTTCCTCTTTGCATCTTATTTTGAGATAGGATCTTGCTAAATTGCCCAAGCTGACCTTCAACTCAGTCTGTAGCCCAGGTTGTCTTTGAATGTGCAATCCTCCTGTCTCAGCCTTCTAAGTAACTAGGATTACAAGCTTGTACTACCAGGTCCAGTTTATTGTTAAATTTTAACTGGCAAACATTTAAATTCCTAACATAGTACGAGTCTCAGTCTCTCTCTCTCTCTCTCTCTCTCTCTCTCTCTCTCTCTCTCTCTCTCTCTCTCT